GATGGATACCCAATAATGGCTCCATTACGCCTCCTCCAGGCGAACATCAACCACTGCGTCGCTGCTCAGGATCTCCTGCTCCAGAGCATGGCGCAGTGGTCGATCAATGTTGCTGTGGTCTCCGAGCCGTACTTCGTTCCAGCCAGGGAACACTGGGTGTCAGACCTGGACGGCTCGGTGACCATCATCTCGTCGGCCGCCGCCGGTACCCCAACCCCCGAAGGGCCTCAGCGAGGCAGGGGTTGCGTCGCGGCTCGGTTCGGAGAGATCGCCGTGGTGGGCGTGTACTTCTCTCCGAACCGAACTCTCGTCGAGTTCCACAACTCCCTCAGGGAGTTAGTCACCGTCGTCGTCGGGTTCCGTCCGCTCCCCGTGTTGGTCCTCGGGGACTTCAATGCCAAGAATTTGGCTTGGGGTTCCCGGCTCACTGATGTCCGGGGAAGGATGGTCGAAGACTGGGCTCTGGAGACAGGCCTAGTCGTGCTGAACCGGGGTTCTGTCCCCACGTGCGTACGGATGCGGGGCGAGTCAGTGGTGGACATTTCGTTTGCTAGCCCCGCTCTGTCATCGCGCGTTGTTGACTGGCGCGTCATGGAGGAGGTGGAGACGTTTTCGGACCACCGGTATATACGGTTCGACGTTTCCGCCGAGTCCGCAGACCCGCGCAGGTGCGCCGGCTGAGCGGCAAGAATACCGCCCCAGGACCTGACGGGCTGCATGCCAAGGTCTGGGTCCTGGCCTCGGAGGCTCTCAGGCCTCGACTACTTGGTCTGTTCAGCGCATGTTTGGAGAGAGGCCAGTTTCCGCTGTCGTGGAAGACGGGTAAACTGGTCCTCGTGAAGAAGCCGGGGCGTCCTGCGGACTCCCCGTCCGCGTACCGGCCCATTGTGCTGCTCGACGAGGTGGGAAAGCTGTTCGAGAGGATAATCTCAGACCGCCTCGTCGGGCACCTGTCTGGAAGGGGGCCGGATTTAGCGGACTTAGCGACGGGGACAGCGTTGGCCGGGAGGCGAGTCGTCGTGGCGGTGTCTCTGGACATCGCCAACGCCTTTAACTCGCTGCCCTGGAGCTGCATTTTGGAGGCACTCCGGTATCACCGGGTGCCTGCCTATCTCCGTCGTGTAGTCGAGGCTTACTTGACGGACAGATGCGTCATCTACCCCGGTCACCGGGGCGTGTGGAATCGGCGAGAGGTGTCGCGCGGTGTCCCACAGGGATCGGTCCTGGGACCTCTCCTGTGGAACATCGGGTACGATTGGGTGCTACGCACCGACCTCCCGAGCGGCGTCAGCATTGTCTGTTATGCTGACGACACGCTGGTGCTGGCGAACGGGAGGTCGCATCAGGCGGCGGCCGACCTGATGTCACAAGCGGTTGCGACAGTCGTTGCAAGGATCCGGCAGTTGGGACTCGAGGTGGCGCTCCACAAGTCCGAGGCCATGTGCTTCTATGGCCGTCGGAGCGCGCCACCTCCAGGTGGGTCCCAAGTAACGGCAGGAGGAGTTACCATCGGCGTCGAGTCGGCGATGAAGTACCTGGGTCTCGTCCTCGACAGCCGATGGAACTTCACGGAGCATTTTCGTCGTTTGGCCCCTAAGTTGGAACGGTCTGGGGCCGCGCTCAAGCGGCTCCTTCCCAACCTCGGGGGGCCAAACGCCTCCTGCCGGAGGTTGTATATGGGGATTGTGCGATCCATGGCCCTCTACGGTGCCCCTGTGTGGGCGCCGGACTTGAAGCGGCGGCCGGCTCGTACGCTGGTCGCGTCACAGAGGGTCATGGCTATACGAGTAATCCGCGGGTATCGCACGATCTCCGGGGAGGCGGCGAACCTCCTTGCCGGATCACCGCCGTGGGATCTAGAAGCGAAGGCGCTCGCGCGCGTCTACAGATTGCGCGCAGACGCGCGTCGCCGGGGCGAAGATCCTCTGCCGCGCCAAATTAGTGCGTGGCGGAATGAGCTCCGGCGAGATCTCATGGCAGAGTGGAGACAACGACTGTCGCAACCGAGGGCCGGGCACGCTACCATAGCAGCGGTAAGACCCCTCTTTGAGGAGTGGCTTGAGAGACGCCACGGCGTCCTCACCTTCCGTCTGACGCAGGTGCTTACCGGGCACGGCAGCTTCGGTAGGTTCCTGTTTCGGATTCAGCGGGAGGAAACGCCCGAGTGTCGTCATTGTGAGGACGACCTGATCGGCGGCGGCGACCTCTCGCGCCCGGCCTTAGTCGAGGCCATGGTGCGGAGTGAGAGGAACTGGGACGCCGTCTCCTCCTTTTGTGAAGCAGTCATGCTCGCAAAGAGAGAGGCGGCCCGCGTGAGGGAGCAATCCTCCTCCTCACGCCCCAGCAGCCGCAACTGGCGACACTACGGGCGTCGGGGATCGAGGGACGATCTCCGGCCACCGTAAGTACGGGCCTGCGGTCGGCGAGTAAGGGCAGCTCGCCGCCCGACCAGAACCAGGCCCGAGCGTACGGCGCGTAGCGTTCCGCGCGCGCCTCAAAGAGCCAATAGACCACCACAGACGGGGCCCTAAAGGGCTGATGTTCAGCCGGGGTTGCGGGGTAAGCGCAATGAGGTACCGCGACCTCGGCACAGAGCAGGAGAAGGAACAGGGGGGTTTTTAGTCAGTAAGAGTCTGACACTCCCTCCTGCCCGGCCCTGGGCGGGAGAAGTCATTTGATGATTTTCCCCTCACAAAAAAAAAAAAAAAAAAAAAAAAACCCTTCCAAAGATCCGTCCAGGAATGGACGGGACTGATTGTTTATCGTCATATGAACGTGCTCCTGTCTTAGAATTAAATAAAAATAGGTGCTGTATTTCATCTGACATAAGCATCAAAATGGAAAACCTCAAATGACCTACAAGACAGTCGCAGGAAACTTAAAATTAACTAAATGTTACGTAGCCTGAATCTAGTAACACTACCTACATCGTTGTGACCACAATTAGCATAGTACATGAGTAAAGACTTGCCATTCTGCCTACACCCTTACTGTTTGTACTCTAACTTGTTAACATCCTGACTCAGAACTGTATTCCACCTTTAATTTTTTGTTTCCCAACTTTATAATACTACATTTTAAATTTCAAAAAAATCAAATTTATAAAAACCAAGACGTTATCGAGTTTTAGCTAACAACCAGCAATTGGTGTGTTTAAATATTAATATAGTAGAAGAATTTTTCTTCGGAGATCAAAATTATTTATTGTTAATAAATAATTTTGATCTCCGAAGAAAAAGTCTACATTTCATGAAGAACACACAAGAACAGTTGACCTAAAAACCTTAAACTAAATAAGAAAACAAACATTTAGGACATACCACTTAGAAGGTGTAATTCATAAATTAGAAATCTTGGTTATTTTGGTATACCTTCAACCTACAACAAGACCCCTACCCGAGACATCGATTCTGGATAGCAAAAAATAGGATTAAAAGAATGAAGACCCAATTTAGAATCTAGATTCGTCCGACCTTTCCAATGTCATGACCTAGACATTGTGGACCAAAAAGTTTATAACACTTTTGCTTTTTTATTAATTCAACTGACATCGCATAACTGGCCAAGTCTTACTAAAGGTTAAAGATTAAAACAATTAATTGTACGATTTCTAAATTTGAACATTTCAAAAATATCTTTTAGTTTAGACGACTTTACTTTAATGTGAATTTATAAAAATAATAATATGTCTGCTATTTTATAAAGGATTAAATACTTAGCGATTTCCAGAAAAAAACAAATATAATAATGTCCTACCAAAAAAAGAAATGAATCGGAGATTTGTAAAAATGTCTAAACCCGGAAAGTATATTTTAGTTTTTGAACATAGTAAATAAATAAAATACAATTAAAAAGAAAGTGTGGGAGAGCCATGCTTCGGCACGAACGAGTCAGTTCGAGCGACGTGATATCGCGGCCTCACAGAAAACCAGTGTTACTGGAGGCCCAATTCAGAGATTGGGGGAAGGGAATTCCTCCAATCTCAAAATCTCCAAATTAGTAATCCCGAAAAGGTCGGCAACGCGCTCGTTACTCCACCATCGTTGTGGTTGTCCATGGGCGGCGCTGGTTGCTTACCATCAGGTAATCCGTTTGCTCGTGTGCCGACCTATCACATAAAAAAAACAACGAATGATGACTTACATAATTAGGTATAAATTTCAATTATATCTACTAACTTTACATTTTTAACAGACTTCAAGAATAAAAGAAGTTGTAAGATGGCTTTCTTACTTTTATATCCTTGTAAATCACATCATCATCAGTCTATTAGCGTCCACTGCTGAGCAAAGCCCTATTCTCACATCACCACGCTTGCTCAAGGCGAATAGGTTTAAAAAAAGCAAATAGGTTCAAATAAAATTTAAAGTCCATGTTTCCTCACGATGTTATTTTTGAAGAAGCAAAAATAATATGTTGTGTTTTTACAAAAAAAAATCTTATCAATAGTATTCGTGGTATGATGTGTAAACACCATTTCAATGTCGAATATTTATTTATTTATTAAACTTATTAATGTTAATACATCATTAGTGCGTTTTAATAAGGCATCAATAGCGGATATGAAATAGGTACCATATTAAGTAGCTATCGATAATCCGCTCAAAAGATGTATTTATCACGACAGCCATTATAACTCCTAATACCCAAATAATATACACCTATTAATATAACTTTTGATTGTATGTAATCCGAGTTAAGGTCGAAGAAACATTTTTTTTCATCGTATAAATTAAGTTATCACAGACTCACGCCATATTTTTGTTTCTCAGAAGTAATTTCTTGCATCAAGAGGTTGTGCTTCGAGAGTTTGACGAGCGTTTCGCCGTGTGAGTTTACCGAAAGCCCATTGATTGACAGTCTTAAATTTGTATTACCAGAAAGGGTAACGTTGGGTTTAATTCTATATGTATACTAAACTACAATACAATCTATAAGCAGTTGTGTTTTCCCCCTTCTACCATAGCATCATCTCAATTTAGAGGGGGGAATTTGGTCACTTATCCTGAAGTCCCCCACCCGTAAAACGGCAACGCACTTGAAGTAACTTTCTTTGGTGTTTCGGGTCTACGAGGATGACAACGATTGTTCATAATCAAAGGTAACGCGGGAGCTCTGTCCTGCTCCTCTGCCTAAGTCTTCGGGAATGAACAAGTTATTATCGCTATAATATCAAATTAGTAATCATGTTCAAATAGAAAAGCTTCGTCATTTCACCTTGACACAGAGTTAAGTAACTTCTCATTTGAATCCATTGTTTGTAGCGATGTGGGCTGACGATGAACTAAGTGGGTTATGGTTAATTTGAAGATTGTTTTTATATTAACTTAACTTGGATCAACACAACTTTTGATCAAATTTCGCCATAGGAATTTCTCGTTGGTTGACGTTTCCGAATCTAATGTTTATGATATTTGTTTATTTTTGCACAGACACTTATGTACAGGTTGGACTGTTGGACTTAATGCCATAGGCGATCTGCCAATCTAACCTTTTGATGGGTTAACCAAAGCTCCACGATCTTATTGATTGATCGAATGGGCCCCATCTCTGGTGCTAAAATTGGTTTTTGAGCACGAGGAGCCGCACGCTGGATTCCTATTCTGATCGGGCGACAAGCTACCCTTGATCGCGATCCACAGACCACCCTTAGACGTGCCTTAGACGGAAATTATAATCCAAGCAGTACACACCGTCACCGTATGCTATCATGCACTCCGAGTGGTCCTTACTGTGACGGCTCCCAGTCCTAAATGCTGAATGTTGTACCTATCACTTAATTTAATATCATTGTTAAGATACAATTAGGTTTAAGTGACTTATAAGTTCAATCTTAAATATCCTTGTTAAAAATTCAACCAGTGATTTCAATACCGTCCTACTCGTACAAACACTAATTAAGCAAAGAAACTAAGCGTATGTATAATTACTTAATCAACCTAACCAAACAATTACCGGTTTTTAAAGCCAATATTGTGCTATTAATCATTTTAAATTCAACATTTACTTAGTTTTATATGCTCATTAGGATTATTGATTAAGCCACAGAATGTGTTGTACTTTTCTTTTTCTTCTTTTTAATTAAACATTGCGCTAGTATTTTCTCCTATGTCGTAGGTGTAATTTCATATAGGTACCTACACATCATATCCTAAACCGGACAAACAGTATTTGCTTCACAAAAAGAATTACTCCATGCGGGAACCGAATCAGTTGCCTAATTGTATTCTTGTTGATTTACTCATTATTAATTTGTGTCAGAGATTCTACTGGCATTTATAAGCTTTAACGACGCTTAGGTAATGATAACATTTTAACTTAGTAAGCGTTACATTTGTCCTTACAAAGTATTCCAGTAACATAGAGACAGTCCCAACTCAAACTCAAACTGCCTCTATTTTTTATAAAAAAATATATAATATGTAGATCTGTACCTAATTAAAAATATATTTTTGAAATCATTTCTTGTCACTACTTATACAGTTAAATACAGTCAAGTAATCTTAGAAAGCTATGTTATTATTAACTTATTTAAGTTCTATTAAAGTTAATTAAATAAATTAGTCAGAAGGAAACAAAAAACAAATCGTTACTTATTAAAAAAAAATACAAGAAAATTAATGTCTAAACATTCACACTTTATAATGAAAATATCAGGTAAGGATGATTAAACGAATCAATAATAAGGTTTAATTATAACTTAGTGTGATTTATGGATTTCAATTTCGTGATTAAGAAAAAAATATTTTTTGATAAGTTACGTGTGGGTTGAGAGATCAATTAAAACTTCCTTTGAGATTTTGAAGTTTCATACAACGTATCTAAAACATTATTAGTTTTTAATGCGTTATTATATATATAATATTATCATTTAATATTTTAACGCAACATACACAGCAAGACTCGCATTAATATATTGAATACTTTTCTACTTTGTAATAATTAAAATGCGCAAACACCGGCGTTCGCTTGAGGTTTGATGAAATATATAGGTAGGTATTAGGTATAATAGGTATATAGGATATTAGAATTATAACAAAAGTGGTATTAAAATATTTTAAGATTTTTTTAAACGGATGAAGGATCCTGCTCACAGGAAATCTTAGTGTAGGTAGGTCCCAGAAACCCACTATTATACCTAGGTACATTCATTTTCATTTTCAATCAAACGGAAATAAATTATTCATATCTCATAACATAACACTAGCTTTGGATCTAAAAACTGTTGAAGTGAGATTCGAAAAATATGTCCGTGTTTTAAACAGCATTAAATGTTCAATATAATACTCGTAATAAAACAAAACCACATCCAATAATAGATCGGACATTCCAAAACATTGAAATTAACGTTTACAAATTCTCTCCACATTCGAATACGATATTAGAATATGTAGTAGATAAATAATTCATTTCATTAACTTTCGTTTTCATCTTGTTTTAGCTTTAAGAACAACGACTTAATGCCTCCTACATGAGATCTAGCTCGGATACTAACGTTGAACTAAGTAGCTGTGTGTAGCATGCTAATGTCCGCGCCCACGCCAATGAAATAACCAAACAAATGGTAAACTAATTGTATACAGAAAGGAGATGTACGTGTGTTTTAATCTCAGTACAAAATTATTTTTTGATAATAACTTCGATTGCCAAGCAATTGGTTATTTAAAGTTTTATAATCTCTTAATACAGACTTGATACGCACTTCTTTTAATTGGAATTGACGTTTTGGTTTGATTGGCGATATTGACACAATTTGGGTCAACAATAATATCATAGTTTGATACTTAAATATCTTTATTGCGACAAGCCTGTTATGATATCCAAAAACTGCTGAAACTTCTATAAGTAAGGATATACAAAATACAGTCATTAAAAAACCGAAACATTAAATTCGGCGCGTCCCAGGATATAAATTACATTTTTGAATTCCGCAGCGAAATAAATCAGGAAATATAATCACATAGCTAAAAAGAAAACAATAGTATCCACTCCAATTTCTATATTCGCTATATCTAAGCATATAATTTCGTAAGTTTGGGAGGCCCATTCGTGGTGAAACAAATGCGCTGGCTTGACCGGACTGATACCATAGCCTCACAGAAAACCGGCGTGAGATACCACTTACGTTGTGTTTCACCGTGTGGCCCAATTCTACCCCCCTCCTCCCATCCTCAATCCCAAATCCCCCATACTTAAATCCCTAACCCACAAAGAGCCGGAAACGCACTTGTAGTAACTCCTTTGGTACTACGAGTGCCATGGGCGGCGCTGATTGCTTACCATCAGGTAATCCATCTGTTCGTTTGCCAACCTATGTCATAAAAAATTTCTATCGCTAAAATCGATTTGAATTAAAAGTATTCCTGCTACCAATATTAAAGACATTATAATTTACCAAATTGAATATCAATTCAGATATATGTTTGAAAACATGAAATACTTAAAAGACACTGGAAATATTAAATAATAAAACTGTTTCTATTTATCAAAAAAATATGATATGTACTTAATTAGCGGAGGAAAAAACATTATTAACGAACGATCACACCTTTTTTATATCCATAAATTAATTATCAACCCACAATATTACAAACTCGATATTTTTGGAAGTGAGATTATTTATATACTTTTTTTATAATGTGATAAATTATTATACATCCTGGTCAGAAATTGATATGTATTCGATCATCAATGATATATAATACCTACTTGATAAATGTCACCTAAATTATGTAGTCATTTTATGCCCAATTACGAGTTAGACGATGATGATGATGATGATGATGATGATGTCATGATTTCCATTGTTTAGGAATCCAGATTATCTAATCTCAAATTATAATTAATGTGACGTTTCCAATTTGCATAAATTATTACATTTTTATACGATGATATTTCTAAAATAATACATTACTCACCAAATTAAAAAAAAACAATCTCACAAATGCAGGATTTAATTGATTTATATTCTAAACGTACGGCACGAATGGGCCGGCTCTACCAGAGTGATATCATGGCCTTACATAAAACTGGCGAAAAATAATACTTACGCTATGTTTTGTCGTGTGAGTGAGGTTACCGGAGGCCCAATCCATGTCCATGTCTGTATCCCCAATCCCCTTTCTTACAGCCCTAAAACGAAACACTGTTTTAACTGTTTCTAGTGTCCGTGGGTAACTCTAACAGGTGATACGTCTGGCTTTTTTTCCTAGGTTTTTTTTATGGAATAGATCGGCAAACGAGTAGACTGATTACCTGATGGTAAACAATCAGCGCCACCCATGGACACCCGCAACACCAAAGCAGTTACGAGTGCGTTGTTGGCCTTTTAGTGATAAGGGTTTTAGTTATTTAAGGATTAGGAAGGCATGGGAGAGAGAGTAGGGTTACCGGAGGCCCCATCGGGTGATGGGGCCTCCGGTAACACAAGACTGTGGTTGTTTCACGCCGGTTTTCTTTGCGGCCGTAGTATCACTCCGGTAGAGCCGACCCATTCGTGGCGAAGCTTGGCTCTACCACACTTACTTGTTAGGTCGTCGGAAAATCCTCGTGATATCCTTACGTTGAGACGAAAGGGATCATTAGACTTCAATAAAAAAAATCTTTGCCGTAAAAAATCAAAATTTGCATACACCAGTCGTTCTATATCCACTCGACTTGAAAAAAGCAATCAAATGAACTGATGACATCAAAATATTAAAGGCGAATAACTTTGCAAATATATGCATACTGATGTCGCGTGATAATTCTAAGACTTTGATTTAGTCACGCCGTCTGTCGGGGCCATAGGTCATCATTAGGTGGCTTCACACTTTTTGTTCCTTCGTGTAAAACAACAAGTTTTTTGATACATTCTTCATATATGCGGCCATGTTAGTATTTATATGTATATGACTACTTGTTGATTAGCTGAAGAGCTAAATCAGGAGTTAGGAACTTTGGATCTCATTTTGGATCGACTAGTATTTAAAAAAAAGAAACGATGTCCCACATTGGGATTTTCTCCTGTATTATGGGTGCGTGTAAACCATACAATTTCACACACACATCCCACCCAGAACAACAAGTTGTATATCACAAACAAGGTTCGAATCTGCGACACGTTGCACGGCAACCGGTTGCCCAGCTACCGTGTCCACTGCAGTCTGCAAATGCTATTTGTTTTTAAAACTAACCAATGATATCACCTAGATCATGAAACCAACTTTATCACTTGTTATAATTAAACAATTGTAATCTAACCTACTCCCTTCGTAACAAAGCATAAAGTCCAACCTCATTTTTTACAATTCTATAATCTATAGACAAAACAAATTTCTTTCTTTTGTTCTCACATCAATACGGTCTATATCACAAAGAGATTCAAATGATTGAAACCAATGTGAAAGCTATGGGAGAATATATTCATAAATTAATGATATAATCAGTGAAAGTTTGCCGCTTTGTGGTCAATATTGACGATGACGTTTACTAATGAAGGTCAATAGTTCGCTAGCCAAAGTCAAGTTTGTCGCCGCCGTGTATAAGGCTCTGTTTACATTGACATTTTGTTTCGTACACAATGCAACGAAATAGATCAGGGAAAAAATCGTGGTGATCTGGAAGTGTAGGTCAGTCGTGATCTGGAAGTAAAGCTCGCTTTAAACATACTCAAGTGTGAAGCTTGAAGCCTGTTAGTAGGTACCTTCAGATTTAGATTTTTTCCAAGTTATATGTATGGTAATTACGGTGTTCGTTTAAGAACAATAAAAACAACAACAATAACCCCACATATAAAAACATTGAAAACGTAAAATTTTTGTCGGAAACGACGGAAACGAGCAGACCTGATGGTAAGCATTCAACGCCGCCCATTGAAACTCGTAATACCAAAGGAATTACTACAAGTACGTTGCCGGCCTCTTGAGGCCATTAAGGATTGTGGATAGGAGGAAGGAATGGGCTTTTAATAACCTCACTCGCACTGCGAAACACAACGAAACAACGCTGTAGTTGTGTCACGCAGGTTTTCTGTGAGGCCGTGGTTTCACTCTGATCGAGCCGGTCCATGTGTGCCAAAGCATGGCTTTCCCATACTTTAAATTTCAAATTATAGGTCACTAATTTTAATAAAGTTCATCGTGCTATATATAATTAAAACTTTACATTTCATCTGTTCAATTTAGCGGTATTGTAAAACGTACCTAAGGAAGTAAGGACCCATCGAAGGATGACTCATCAGTTTCAATAAAAAAATCACATATTTTTACAACAAGCTTTAATAAAACAGGCGTGAGATTATAGCAAAAAGGTCGGTTATGATTTGAGTTCCGTGTTAGTCATCAATTCATTATACTTAGATCTATTTAGGCATCAAGTGACCATACAGTGGTCACATTGATATATAGCTTAATGCCTATACACATGTGTAATTTAAGGTCTAGCGTCTTTGTTTTCTCCCTTCCTTTTAGTTACGCAGCAGTATTAATCAATTGGCTTTTCTCGCCCAGGGTGGGGCGAGAGAGAGTGTCACACCCGGTTTCTGAAAGACTTGTCAACGCTAAAATTAACTCATCTCCTGTTACATCTCTTGTCAAGACATCTGATTGGTTGTTGATAATTCAGTCGACCAATCAGATGACTTGACAAGTGATTAAATTGATTTTAACATTGATCGGCCTTTCGGAAACCGGGATTCAGACTCTTACTGACAAACTAAAACCCACCAAATTCCTTCTCGTGCTCCAGCCGAGCCCGCGGTACATAGACAACATGAACATCTACGGTCCGTAATCTTTTTAGTGAATGTAATAAAAAAATCTTCTTTAAACAGAGATCGAGAAATAAAACACGATAAACATGAAATATTTTATTTTCCTTCATCATTAGGGAACAAGATATGTCCATACAATATTAATAAATAAATAAACATTTGCATAAGATGTGATGCGAAGATTTTATACGTACGGTGTTGAGCGAAAACTTAATTTATTGAAAACAACGATTTACTCACGTGACTAAACTGAGGAAAACTTACGACGCCGCCGCGACACACGATTCATGATTATGAGTCCCGTTGTAACTTGAAACTAGAAGAGCTTTTCCCAATTTATTCACGTGAGGAAGCCATTATTTTCAATACGTAAGGTAGGTATGTTTCACGACAGTTACTATTCAAAATAGTTGGACGAAAGCTATCAATGAATCTATGTAATGATGCAAAAGATAACGTCACTAAACCTTTTCCCCAAAGGGGTGGGAAAAGATAGTAAATTCTATGTTAAAAAATAAAATTATTTATTTCAATATCAATTATCCGCGAATCAAGGATATGCGAGAAGCGTGTCTTAAACTTTTCAACAGAAAATAAACTTATGAAAGTTGTATTTGTACTAATCGAAACATAATGAATACTCAATAATACTCAACGGAAAGCTATTTGTAGATATACAATACATATAATTATGTACAATAAACATCTAAGTAAATCTTACAACAAAATAACAATATTCTCGACATAAATTTACTACATAGATACTTACTATAAACAAAAATATAATTAAATCTGCAACAACAAGGCGACACCGGCGAGGGTCCACTTCGCTGGTTTATCCTTGGTCTTCAAATTGAAGGTCCAAACGTAAGTTGGTCCTCTGGTACGAGTTTTATACACAGGGCACTCGTACATGTTCCGAAGATCTTGCTTATCTTGTGTTATTGCCTAAAAAAGGTAAAAGTATAAGTAACATATTTTTTATTCTGATAAAAAATCGATTTGGCGATTAAGCAGGAACAACGACATCGCCACTTTTGGTGATCTATAAGACAAACTAGCAACTGCCGTACGGTTTCACTAGCTACTCGGCTCCTATTAGTCGTAGGGTAAACTTTTGTAGCCTATGACATTCAGTAGCTTAGATACTTTAGTGAAAGAATTTTTGAAATTCGACCCGCGGTTCTAAAGATTACCCCCTACATACTAACGGACAAATTTTACGTCTTCTTAATATTACTATTAATGACGATTCCTGCTTGATGACGCTTACAATATTGAAAGATAGGAAATAATTACAAGGAATAATGAACGTATAGTACATGGGTATTGCAACGAACGTTAAAAGCGAATTATTTGCTGGTAAATAATTATTTTCTTAATTGGTTTTCCTACGGCATTGATTCATACTTGTAAAATCAAATAATTTATTCACTATAGGAGGATACTTTTGAACTTCAAACAAAACAATGAATATTAAAAGTTCAACTTGGTGTGTTTCAGTCTGTCAGTCCGTCCTCTAGTGATTTGGACTACTACTGAAGTGTAGTGAACTATACAAAGTGTATAACTTACCCGAACATTAATAACAGGCATCGGAGGGAACAGGTCTTTTAGTTTGGAGTCCATAATTATGCCGGCCTGCTGGTCCCAGCGAGCTCCTTCCATCAGGAGACCATGAACAAAGGCACCATCACGAGGTGCTGACCTGGTGTCAGCGATCCTAGAGAAACGTTGGTGTAAGAGAGCTATCTGAAGGATTTTGTAACAGATAATACTTTGGTTTTCAGCTTAATTTTTTTTATCCAGAGCTAATCGCGCCGGTTCTGACTTTAAAAGAGTCTGTAAGTTTGTTTCGGTATTTCTACTCAGAGTAGTCAATAATTGATCTATTTATTTTTAGGGCCATCAACAGCGATAATTCTAAGTAATAACTTAACATATACATCAGTAGCTAATAATATGTATCCGCGGTAGATACATATAAATATATTTTTTTAATTCAACACCGAAATAGGTGGTTCAATTCACCTTCAAAATATATTTCTACTGTTATACAGATATTCGACGAAAGATATAAAATATCCACAAATTTAATCAAAATATAATTTTGAAACGAAGACCAAAGTATCATCTGGTTGTGATGATAGAATGAAAATGATTATATACAAATTACACATTTATGAAATGAAACCTATTTACATAAACCTAAGTTTAAAGCTTCGTTTATATTATTTACAGAAATGTACAAATAGGAAATATAAAATTAATTTTGTATATTTTAAAGTAAGTCCTACACAGAGTAACTAAATACAAGTATTTCTACCTAGAATATGTCCTAAACAAAATACATTAAAAAGCATTTTTTTTTTTCATATAAGTACCAAATTGTTAAACATTTAGGTAGATACAGACATAGGATATATGTATTCAAAGGCAGTCCCGTACACCGTTATCACGATTAAAAAGCACTTTTCATAAGTTATAAAGGTATGTAGCGAAGCGCAGATAGTTTTGGAAAAGAATTAAAGAGTCAATCTACATTTTAAATATACATATATACATTATTTATCCTTAGAGTACTTTAACACTACATCCGATCCAAATCCGTGAAAATACAAAACAAGATAACTCTGATAAATTCAAATAAACGTATGACTGATGACGGAGATGCCATAGAATTAGTTCTTCGACTATGATGGGCCATATTTTTATAGGTTTTTTTGAGGATTGAAAATCATCTAATGACTTTTTTCGCCCAGGGTATGGCTAGACGGAGAGTCGCTTCCTTCTTCTGCTCCAAACCGAAGTCGCGATACCTTATTGTGCTTAATCTTACCTCAGCTAAACAAGGCCCTGTTGGGCCCTACCTGTAAGTCTATTTTGGTCCCTACCTGTAAGTCTATTTTGGTCCCTTAGAGGCGCGCGCGGATTCGGATCGAACGTAGTGCTGAAGCGCTCTCACTGACCAGTCGTAAGAAAAAGGCTACCAAAGCGACAGTTGAAGATGAAGATAGGAAGATACCTAATTTATAGACGTTAAGTAAAACTGTACATTTGCATACTCATAGTACTCATGTGCTTCCGACATTGAAAGTCATGCGTGATTTTTTATAATTATTATTAATATATCAGCCAATTGTTTTTATACAAAATGCTAGACAGGCATTGAATTTAAAATGTACTTAGTATTCCAATTAAGATCGTTGTTACTCACCAGTACCTATGAAAAGTAGAAAATGATGAAGATAATAATATGTTGTCAATACAGAATTATAGATACTATCTATATCGATAGAATGAAAAACACAACCTTGCTTTGTGTGAAATAATTGAATAATAATAAAAAAACAATCCAAATCATTCCCATTCAGAAAATTTTGAATGTGTATACCAAACGTGCCACAGCCACAATGCTAATGAATCGTCCACAGATTTATTTGTATAGAAACCAACATTTAACAATTAAAAACATAGAATTTGAATTTCCAGATCATGGTCCTTTTACCCCTTTTATTGGTTTTCACAAAATCTTTAATACTTACGTGAATTCTTCTTTCATCTTCTTGGTAACGTCACATTGTAAGCACATCTTGTCAAGAGGAAGTTCGTATTTGCGCGCTGTGCTCTGCATGATAGCTGTCAATAAGCTTTGAGGGTTGAAGAAACCACCCAGCCATACTGACGCTGGTAGCTAGATAACGAAAAGTATAATAAAGACTTAAAACCCGCCAGTAAAGTTACCGAAGACTAAAAACTCATTATCCCCAAAAGGCAACTTGCAATTCTTCTGGTGTTGCGGATGTTCCTGGGCGGCTGCAATTGCTTACACTATAATCTGTCTGCTTGTGAGCTACGGTATCACATAAATCTTCAAACTCTTCTCTTCCTTGTTAAAAGATTTGCGCCCTTATTATAAAGTTTCTTGGGTTTATATCACTTTCCTCTATCAGAGCTCAATAAATCAGCCTTCTGTCTTTATTTTACTTTTAGAAAATATTCGAGACCAAATTTTAAACAAAGCCATAGAAAAGCCTACTCCAAATTAGAACAAGTTAAAATATTTAAATTATTAATAAACTTAGTGTAGTATTCACCACAAAATCTGTAGCCCATGTTTCCAGTTCTCGTAATCTTAGTGTTAGATCTACGAACCAGGCCGAGAGACCTAACAACGATGGATACGCGCGGCTGGACCAAATCGCTGGCACCTGTTAAATTAATCAAAAGTTAACCTATGCTAATATTTCTTACTCTAGATAATACTAAATAGTCTTTGGTTCTGCATTAATATTTTCCCAATGTTCATCACTAAGAAAATCTTAGAATACTTTAGAAACGCCTTCTTAAAAGGCCTGGTTCCGGTTCTGATGACGCATGGGTCCATGGGGGGAGTCGCAGATCACTTACCATCAGATGATCCGTCATTTCATTTGTCTACTATTCCATCATACTATTTTCCATATACTTTACACCCAGACCAGAATAACAATTGTAAATCGCTCATAGACTGGTCCTGTGTTGGAATTTAACCCACGACACTTTGTGTGGCAGCTGGTTTCCCAGTCATCGCGCACCGTCCAGTCGAAAGTTAATAAGAGTACACTACAAAAATTGAAATAAACAATTATTGTATTTTTAGTTTTTCTTCTTACCTGGTCTAAGAACAAGGCATTTTCTAAATCTTCCATATCCGATGTAATTGTTAATTCACCCTGTAATTAGAAAAAAAAAACATTCCTTCATAACCGGATTGGAAGTAACAATAATTTCAATAAAACATGTTAATTTTGATACATTTATAAAGGGGAGATTTTAAATTAATTAACAATTTTATTTACCTTTAGCCCCAAATCCAATTCTCTCAGAGACCTCTTCATCTCACCAGTAAGATAATTCATTCGCTCACACTCTTGGAAAGCTACTATTACGTAAGGTGTCCTCTCTTCAACCTTCCCCATTATTTCTGTCATATTAAACTCCTCTGGTAACTTTTCAATTATTTCATCTAACATTTGTTTTACCTGTATAGTGAAATCGGCTGATTAGGATGGGACCCTTAGAATTTCGTTCTGAATACCTTTAAATGTGAGTAGATATCAAAACAATTAGGTTAGATAGCATACTGACATAACTATTACAGTTACCGCGGCACATATCCCATAATGGGGTTCATGAACTTACATCTCTAGCCTTGTGCGAAACTAGTCGAGCTACCTTGTAAAATTACGTGAAACGTTATCAGCTATATCTCACGTCACACATCGCATCATCAACCTCTAAATAAAAGGAGAAGACTTTCCTCACGTGGACAAGGTTTCAGCATTAGTCACATTGTCACATGAGCTTGAGAAGCAATTCACAACAGAAGACGAGCATGGAAAAATTAAACAAAAACAGGCCAAAAACATACCTTCTCCTCTCTGGTTACGGTAGCAGCGCCAGAAGCCTGAGCATCTCTCGGTTGCATCTCAAATATAGTCCTAAAGAGGTTTTCTGAAGTGGTGGTGAGGAAACCGATCTCAGCGTTAGGGTGTAAGCCATAAAGATAAGGTGATTCTGCAGGCATGGCGTCTTCTATATACTGATGGTAGCCCACGTAGTCTGTGTTGGGGGGCGCTGGAAAACCTGGAGCTAGTTGCAGCTCACCATCGACCTGTAGATAAGGCGAGTAATATGTTAAGTACTTGTAGTGTAATTAAATGTAAGAAATTCTACTCGAACTTATGAAATCCAAAAATAAAACGTGCTAACGTCCAAGGAACACCCAAAATGAAAAACAAGATACGCATCATAAGTACACTACTAGCATAAATGATAAAAACCCTCATAGGTATGTATAGTATTATTTCTCTAAAAAAAGTCAAAAGTTAAAAATCATTTATTTCAATTAGACCCTTACAGGCACTTTTGAACGTCAAACTAAATTTAAAGATATAAAGTGCCAGTCTGTCGGTCAGTCCTTTTAGTGAAGCTACTTGCTCGTTCTAAAGTGTAGATTCCGATGGAGAAGAACCAGCAAGAAACACCATGGTTACTCTTTTTAAATCAGTTTGACATGCAGATTCCTACATACATAAACTACCATATGCTCTCTGCATCACCCTAAGGTTGACTAGTGAGAATGCCTACGGCATTAAGTTTGTAATGTTTTGTTGCATAAAGTTTAAATAAATAAATAAATTTCTCAAACCCATGTCGAACCAAAAACTAAGAATTCACTTACTAGATCAGGCTGCATCAATTCCTCCAAGTAAGCATTGCAGAGTCTTCTGTCCCAATCATCAGTTATATGTCCTCCGTACATAATCTCACCGAATAAGTACCTTAAATCTTCCCATGGTACCCTCGCATTCGCCTCCAAATAATTGTACAAGACAAATACGCTTATTGTCAAATCACCTAAAATGGAAGAAAGCTCTTTGATTTCGGAAACATTTACTGTGACGATATTTACAGCTATTTCATAATGCAGATGTTGATTTAAGACCTTTAGGGTCTCATCAAAAATCGGTCGCTTAACCGGTGGTATGCCGGAGCGCAGATATACGCAATGTGTTTTCTATTGTGTCTCATAAACCGGCAGAGTAGCGGTTAATTCACCAAACCCCACGCGAACGCCGGCGCTCCTATTGTCTTATATTGTATCTCTAATGTCCTCGATTGAAAGGTAAAATATTTTAGTCTAACACCCGGCTTCTGAAAGGCTTGTCAACGCTAAAATTAACTAATCTCCTGTTAAATCTCTTGTCAAGTCATCTGATTGGTTATTGATAATTCAGTCAACCAATCAGATGACTTGACAAGAGAATTTAATTGATTTTAACATTAATCGGCCTTTCGGAAACCAGGTGTAAATCTTTCAAAATAACTTACCAACGTTAAAGGGATAAATCTTGTTCCAGCCCTGTGGTCCAAACTTCCTTCTCTCAGCAACCACAGCATGGAAGTAACAAAGAGCGAACAGTATCGCCTTAAACTCAGCTTCCTTACCACACATCTCTAAGGTTTCTTGGTTGAAATTATCCAGAGCTTTATGGATGTTAGCCTGCATGTGAAAATGATATAGTAATTTTACTCTTACAAGTATACGGCATATCAAGTAATAGATTCAGAGTTTTATATATTTAAGTATTTCATAAATTTGCGAATCCCTTAATTAGCTCTAATTATTTCCAGGGCAAATATATTCTGGTCTTCATTTGTGGTAAATGAAGACCAGAATATATTTGCCCTCGGCATCATTCAATGTGGACGGCAAACCAGCTGACGGTTTACCTGATGGTAAGTAATCAGCGCCGCCCAAGTACAAAAAGCCGCAACAACGGAGGAGTTACGAGTGCGTTGTTTGTTGGAATAACGGATTACCTGAAGGAAGGTAATCAGCACCGTCCAATATAACACATATATAAAAAATTGCATACCTGCATGCCAGTAGGCGGTTCATTGGTAATTTTAATGCTAGACTCCAGAATTCCCTGCGGTATGATATGGGCTGCAGGCGTGGCTGCTGGTTCAGCTGACATGAATAGACGGAAATCCTCATGACAACCATTTGCGAAGCTCTCCATCTTCTTTTCCAGACTTGGAAGCCATTTCTTTACTAAATGTATATTCTGCAATAAGTTATGACAAAGAAATGACTTAAAAAAGTAATGAATAACCACACTAGCAACTAAATTATGCTCGCAATTACTTGGCGTTAGGCCTATATGTATTAGTAAAATTAAACACATATTTATTTTACCTGTAAGACAACCCAGTGTCCCTTCTGCAAGCCTATGTCCATCGCCTGTTCAGCCACAATCTCTTGCCCCTGACCCAGGGACACGTTATGGAAGTTCCCATTGTCGGCTGTAAATCCCATGATCTTTCCCAAAGCTTCCACATCTTTCAACGGATTGACACCAGGAGACAGAATGAAGAATATCGGTGTAGTTGGACTGGTCTCTTCAAAAGACTTACTGAATTCCACTGTCCTATTTTCCACGTATTTGGCGCCCATTTTTTCTTCAATATATGCTCTGGAAAAAATGAAATAGGTAAGGCTATTGCATTCCAAGGAGTTGAATGAGATTGAAAGTGTATGATGTACTTACGCTACCGCATACGTCATTCTATCTGGTCTTAGTGCTCTCAACATACAAAGACGCTGGAGAGCAGGTTTGTTTTTCCATTCCTGAAATGAATTGTGGTATAATTCCAAAGTTTAAAAGTAAGTGTTCGTGTTCTTTGTTTAAATTTAAACATAATATAGAAAAACTAATTTTATGGTATTTAATAGACACTCATTTATTATACAAAACAAAGTCGTACCTGAGGAAACTTCTCCCGTTCAGGACATTCAACTTCAACAATCTTCTTCCACCGTTTAGGCGATGTCTCAATATCTCTGTCCAAGTTCCTAAACTCTTCTTTCCCGGCTAGAGAACAAATACCTCCCCAGCTGTGATTTGATAAGAAATCTACTGGACTAGTCACGTGTGGTTTTATAGGGAAACGGAGGAAGAAGTCTAGTTCCACTGATGATACTTCTTCACTCATGAGTAGCACCTAGAACGTATTACAATATCTAAAGCCTATTCAATCCAAAAATTATATTGGAGTCAAATATTGCAGATATCGAATGTATAATTAAGTTAGAAGATTTTTTGTACTATCACCGGAACACGCATAATTTCATTATTCACCTGGAATGTCATCTGTGATGCAAAAATAAGTTTGTCGCATTCAAATAAACCACGAGAGGTATACTGGTACACAGAAAAACTGATGCAATCAATAAGGTTCTTGATCCTAGCGCTAAGTTCATCTGCAGGCTCTGCTCGAGATATCGCTTTCTGGAACACTACACTAAACGCCTAAAAAGAAAATATGTATATTCATTAATTACCGAGATTCTGTTAACTTCATTTAACAGATTATTTCAAAACATTACCTTGAGAGAAAACTGGTAGATAGGATTGATAGTGTTAAGATCATTTAGAATGAAATACAATAAAGACGCTCTCGCTGAGGCTGGCCTGTAGAATTCACGAGCTACGTCAATCTCTCGTGAAGTTATCTTTGCTTCGGCCACCTACGGAAATAAGAGATTATTTTAGAACCTAATACCTACATTTGACTCACAAAGACGGCCATTATATAAGGCAAATGGAGCTTAGCCTAAAGTAAATGTCTAAAAAGTAAGAAATTACACATTTATGTCTTGACCAGTCCATCTTGATATTTCAACCATTCCATCTATTAAAGTACTATAAATACGTTTGTGAGGATGTATGGGTCTCACCTTTTTCTCAATATCAGCAGCAGTCTTCTTAGTAGTCTCTAAATTCTCTACTAAGGCCGTATCACCAAGAATATCATCACCAGCTGATGACAATCTTGACAATAAATCATCTTCTAGCGACTTCAACTGGATCTTAAACTGATTCTGCTGTTTAGTTAGCTCTGCTTTTAAATCCTCTAAATCTGGTCTTTCTGCTTTCACTACTTCTGCTAGTAATTGGTCTTCTAAGCCATCGCGTGTTACTGTGAAGTTTACTAAGGTCGTTTGTGCTTGCATCTCGGGTTTGTAATGAGGATTAGCTAATTTTGTATGCAGAATTAGTCTAAAGTTTGGACTGTATTCAACTTCTTTGTCTCCTATCTTAATTGCTCTGAAATTTAAGGAAATTAATGACAATTTATGTTATATAAAGGAGAGATAAAAAGTAAAGTAGTGAAAAAAAGGTTGTTTCTACAGAAGAAAGATGATAAAAAATCATTTGATTACATTGAGCACAAATATTGAAGGAAGGGTAAAAGTAATCGTCGATAATCTAAGTAACGTTTAAGTCAGTTCAGCTTACCTTCCTTTCTTGATCAATGTTCTTCCTAACAATGGATCAAGCACCGGATCCACAGTTTCACCAATATTTTCAAACAGAACAGTCTCCCCTTTTATTATAGCCTTTTCAATCGTATCTAAATAACCTCTTGACCCTAATCTAATTACTCTTAGTTTATCACCGTATTTCTGTTTTATCCATTTTACACCTTGTAGCTGAAAGAAAAATAAAACTTACATAGTCACATTCACAAATGTGTCAGTTGGATGTTAAACTAGAGAAGTTCATCAAAAAGAATTTGTACCTTTGGAAACATTTGCAAGTCAGGAGATGATAATGAATAAAAATAATCAAACATTATTTTTAAAGAAACACCTTGTGATATTTACACTAGTCAAAAATATAATTTTTGCACACTTACTTGAGGATCTATCATAAGTGGCCACCGATCTGAGTTAGACAGGATCGTTGCATTCTCAGTACTCATGCGATCTGAAGGCAAGCCTTCGTTCTGCCACATCGCTATTGTTGTGTCGTCTGTTAGCATAGTCAGGGGATCCAGACCTTCTGTTATTGGGATGGGTGGCTAAAAGACAAAAGGGAAGATATATTATAAATATTTAGGATTTTAATGATTTTCTTGAAAGGACATAAACAAAATACATTATTATGATGCTGAGAAAATTTTTTACCTCTAAAGTCTTCAAGAACACCAGCCAGTTCTTGTGCATCAAGTCCAGTCTGAACTGTTTAGTGAAACAACCCACGTATGAGATAAAGGCGCAGACTAATAACACGTCTCCTGGTAGAGTTGTGCCTTGCTGCATTAAACTGGAAATTAGATAAAAAATTAAGGTCTTGTCAAATAAAACATTCTATCTAGTCTAGTATTTACGATAGTTGTTCCTTTTTTCTCAATGACAAAAGTTTTAAAATTAGAAATTTTAGTTTACCTAGAAACAGCTTCAGCCCATCTAACATTTTCACTAGCGAGACCGTTCACCAATCTGTTAGCAAGTTGAATAGTTGCATTCGTTGCATCTGCTTCTTTCTGACATTTCATTTTTTCTGAAGTTGCTTTCTCAAAATCTGCCGTCAGTGTTGCTAATTTCTCTTCAAGGGACTAAAATGTAAACACCAGAATTATTATTTCATTCGATACTATGCTAGGTACAAAATAGGTACACAGTTTCGAATAGAAAATCCTTCTTCAGTTCATTAAGATAATTTCGGGGAAACAAATAATATGGCATCGCAAAATGCCAGCGTCAAACAATAATTACGATGCGTTTCGCCTGCGTAAGCGAAGGCCGGTTACCGGAGGCCCAATCCCCATCCTCAATCCCAAAAGGCCGGTGACGACTTTTACGACTGCCCACGGGAGCCGATTACTTACCATCAAGTGATCCGGCTGTTCGTTCAGACTACGTTATAAAAAACAAATGTACACAACACAACAAAAGTTATTAAGTTGTTTAAATTTCACACTTACAGCAACTTTGGCTTTAATAGACCTCAATTTTTCAGTAGCAGCAGCCAACTCTGCGTTAGCGGCTGCAAGAGCTTTTCTTTTGGGCTCGACATCACAGAACACTTCATAAAACTTTATGATGTTTATAACCCAAGCGCAAAGACCAGCAGCTGCAGCCGATTTTGATCTTACAAACTCTAGAAAAAAGAGTTTAAAGTTCTTTGTAGATTATTTAAATAATATACTAATGTGATTGTGTCTGAGTAAAATACCTGGTTCAAATTCGGAATCCTTCAAGTAGGGTTGGATAGCTTTTATGACATCAGGATGGATGTTTTCTTTGTCATAATTTATGAGACACTCTAGGAACACGTCCACTTTTGCCATGACAACCTGTTAAAGGACATTTCACTAATTTTTTACCGTTGCAAAGCCACGAGTAATATAAGTTCAATAGAGTCCAAAATCCTACAATCGTAGATGTTTAAGCTCAATACCTTAGCAGCTTTCCAACTCCGATCTTTAGGTATCTTGCCTCCAGGTGCAAGCAGCACCATAACAGCTGCAGTGACGTTAGTAACAGCGCCCGGTGGTGAACCGAAAGACTTCAACTCAGTAAGGTTAGCTTTGTTCAAGGTGTTCAAAGCTTCCTGAGCCGCGACTAGCGCTGGTTCTGCTTTAATTAAGTCTTCTTCGCAATCCTTCTGCTTCTTAGATACTTCTTCAGCTATCACTGCTACCTTTTCTTCCTCCTCATCGGCTGAAATGTTAATTATTTTTTAAGTACTAAATTTATTTTTATTCATTGTCTTCTTTCTCTCTCTCTTTCTCTCTCTCTCTCTATCTCTGTCTCTCTCCTTCTGAACTATTACTACTTAAATCTTACCAAGTGCCTTTTCGCTCTGTACTTTAGCAGTTTCAACGCCGACCATCTCAATAAGTTTATCAGCTGCTTCATTCTTTTGATGTAACTCCACTTCTTGTACTGCTAACTTTTCCTTAAGTGCGTCTACTTGGCAGGATGTACAGCGAAGCTTTTCGAGACCATTTTCCAACCTACGTAAAAAATAATGCCACATATAATAAAGCAGTGCACGCAGTGCACGCATTGCAGCCATTTTTTGCCAAACCAGACACCTGACTTCATACTACTATTGACTATGAATATTCGACAGTTGCGTTTGCAAACACCCAACCAACAATACAATCTTTAAGTGGACACATAAAATTATTTATTAACTTTAAGTAATAATGGTTTCCTATAAATGAAGGAATACACCAACAACATATCTACATTGCCGTCATTCATGTAGGTAAGAGAACATACGTTTTTTTTAAATAAAATAAACAACGTACCTCACAATCTTTGCCCGCAGTTCATCAGTCTTATTATTGACCAACTTAGCATACAAACTGATTTGTTCGAGGTAACTCTTGGGTGTCGTGTAGTTGTACCTCCTCTCATTAGCTAAGTACGCTTTAGACATCGTGTTCACCGAGGTATGAACGTACGCCATGAATCTTGATATTGAGTCTCTAAGCGTTACCTAGGGAAAATAAATTTACAATGTCAATGAGATGTTTTCTTAAGCGTCTGACACTGAAATGAATAATTAAGTAAAAATGCTAATTAATGTAATATTAAAGATATAAGAATCCTACAATCCTGATATCGACAAAATCAAAACTTCTTTTGAGATTACTGAAACCTCTAACATACAAAACATCTAACATAAAAAACAGAAATTTGATAAAATTTTATACCGGCAGATTATCCAGTTCTTCCAAGAACCTCATGGCGACAGACACCAAAGCTTCCTGAGGCCACTCGTGGAACCAATTGATAGACGTACAATTGATCAGAGCTGGGAACTTTCTAGATCGCACTCTCAGCGTAGAGCCCACAGGAGAGAAACAAAGGACCACTTTCAGCTGTTTGCGAACTCTGTCTATGAAGAATTTCCAGCAAGTCTCCCTTGTATCTGGTAAGCCTGCACCTTTTACCTAAAATACAAATTGTTTAAAAACAAAAGCTATTTCATCGTCATTTAATATCCATAGAAAAAATATTTTTTTTGACACGAGGTCGAATAAAATTTTTTTATTCTGTTTTTTTTACTTTTTTTATGTGATGGGTCGGCAAACGAGTAATCGGACTACCTGATGGAAAGCAATCAGCGCCGCCCATGGACACCCGTAACATCGGAGGAGTTTTTGAACATTTTTGCAGATAGACCATAAAACGGCACTTTTACCCGTCAACTTATATGTGAAAAACAAGATGAAGCCGGAAAAAAAGGCAATGCCTAATCGATCAGAAGTAAAACTTACTTCATTCCTCACACCAGCAATAATGTTTTCCATTTCATCGTCAGGGAATAGATCTGCAACTTCACCGGATGCTAGCAGATCGTTGATCAAGACCAAGAATTGTTCATTTGCAACTTGAGCGTCCGTCATCAAGAACATTATACCGACGTTCTTAAGACCAGTTTTAATGTACAATTGTGATAATTCATTCTAAAAACAAAAATCACAATTGGTTATAATAATTTTTATACAGTACATTAAGTCCCATGTTGGGCGCCAAAAATAAAATATTTTTGTAAAAATATTTTAAACGATAGTATCTTAGTAGTGATGAATTTGGAAATAAATATGGACATATACAGATATAGAAGATTTGATTTGATTTGATTAGTTAAAATTAAATATCAAAATGAACATTTTATACAATAACATCATGATTTATTCCTATGGTGTTTTCCTTACCTTCAAATCAGAAACTCCATATCCCTTTTTCAGTTGAATTTGTAAGACTTCCAAACTAGATATGAAAGCTGCAAGTCGGGACAAAGATTGTTTACCGGAACCTCCCACGCCAACCAGTAAGGCACTGCCTCTTGGACTTTCGAGGATCCGAGAAATCCTATAAACGAAATCAACACTTTACCGTAACTCGAAAGAGAAACGTGCTCACAATATAACATCTTTTGTGTCGAATTTGTTCTATTAAATATTAGGACAGAAAATCCCAACATTACTTCGACTTAGGAATTAGACCTAGTTACATTATACAAGATGTGGCAATCAATCGATAAGATTAGGGATCTTCTCGATGGAGTTTATTAGCTTAGACTTTAGTGTTTTTGACATTCGGGAGATTGATGCTAAACTGTACCTGCAGATATGCATCATGGCATCCTCGAAGAGCACCAAGTTCATAGCAGCAATGAGATCGTTGTAACTAGCCATGGCTTCAGTAAGCAGCTTGTTGAGCTGTTCCCATGATAATATGGGCATGTACTTCGGTTCTCCGATACCACCAGCGAAATGACAGTAGATGTTCGGACGTTCAAATACCACACCTTCGTCAATATCCTGGGCACATCAAAAGACTTTAATTACAACGAGAATTTGGCGTATATGGAGTTTTTCACTTCAGATAAATAAGAAATTATTAGAAAAAAACTTTAACATCTAACATCTGACTTCTTATTTACGGACGCTCTGATGACAGAATCCGCACACAATAAATCAATTTATACCACACACACACAGTTGCGAAACAAAGTACGATAATAATAATAAGTAATAGTACAATGCAATGTTACCTCAAAATTCTTCTTGCAAATATCAACTTGAACTTTAAGAAAAGCATCAATATCTTTTTCTTCAGTCAGCTTATCGCCGTACACACGACTTGTCTCGTGCAGCCACAAACGTAATATGTCTGATGTGTTCTCTATACATTCATTTGTACTGAATAAGAAACCCTGAAAATGATGGCAGATTTATAGTTGATTGTAAAGAGACCAGCTAAAGTGTAATATCATTATAGCCCATCCTGCGTCTGCGACGCCGGCGTCAGCGAGTCCCTCCCCCACCTGCTAACGGAATGCCCGCAGCACGAGGCAGCGCGTTACAATTTAGAATCAAAGACCGACAAAAAAGTAACGCTGCCAAATTTGTCGGGGCTGATCGCGGACAGAAGATGCAGGGCAGACTTTATCGACTTCGCAACAGTGGTGGTAAGGTCTGCCAATATCAGAAATGGTGCCACAGGACGGAGTAACGATACTCTTCACCGGGCACGGCGACGTGTAGGTGATTCAAGGACTGAAGATGTTGACCCCGCGTAAGCGACCCATGACATGCTACGCATAGCAGGGCGCTTGTAGCGAAGATTGACGCTGAAAAAGGAAGATCACCACACAAAAGTTGGCAACACCCCGGTGAAGGGTAGAGAGACCGGGCGCTTAGTACATATATTAAGAAATGAAGAGTATATGACAGTAGCGTCGGTAATATAAAGAACCTTCTATATATATATATATATATCTATAAAAATCTATCCTTATTTATTGATTATTTATTTATTGAAATTTAAAATGTTACAAATTATTCATATAGTCATTGGCACCGAAACATAACACTGGACGATCGCAGGTCTCTGATCATGTCAGAGGAGCACTCAGGAACAGCAGGAGGGGTTTTAGCCGGTAAGAGTCCGGCAGTACTCACAACTCCCTATTCGTGGGGAGGTGTGAGTCTCCATGAGGATTTCCCCTCCTGATGTATAAAAAAAAAAAAAAAAAAAATATCATTATAGGAATTAAGACAAATTGACTAATTTGAAATGTCAGTTGCGGTTTATCCGCAACAATGTAGCGCGGTCTTGGGGGGTAACCAATCCATTCCTCCTCTTACTCCAGGCCGAGTATTACTTAAGACTTCCGTAAGAGTCTGACACTTCTTTCGCCCGAGATGTCATCTAATGATTTTCCACACCCAATAAAATTACTTTTTTTAAATCGAGAAACTGTCCCACCTGATATATGTAGCTAATAGGTCACTATTTACTTTCCATTCGACAAATTTCAAGCTTAAGAAGTATAAAATGTTTAGATTACCTGAAAGACGTTGGATAGATCCCGTAAATTGAATATGTAATGGAATTTGATCGCTGTCGGTAAGAACACTTGGGATATTTTGTTGTGAAGAGTTATCGTTGCCATAACCACGTTAGCTGGAAATGAAATATTATGTTTAATTTCGGTTTCGTGAAAGAGAAAACTTAGATAGGGGTACAGGGTTTACAATTCATCTTTTTAATAATCCCATGAATGATGTAACATAGACAAATTAGAATTGTAACTGAAAATTTAACAAAAAAAAAATACTTACATGACAACTTAGCTATCTGCGGATTAATCCTCAATTCCGGATTGATGAGATGCTGACTCAAGATCGAATGGTAGATATTATTCAAAGCCTCAGAGTTAGGAAAACTGATAGCAAACACACAGAAATGTCTCTGCAACCTTGGGTTTATAGTGAAACTGCCTGAAGTGGGGTTCATGCAGGACACATATTGGGTATTGTGGATATCCTTCAAGGATAACTTGGTACGGTCATACCAATGTCCATAGTCCATATGTTGGCGGATAATTGTATGAGGTTGTACCGTCCCATAAGCATCCACTTCTGGCATATTCATGTCATCTATAAAGTAAATTAGCGTCTTGTTCCCTGGTGGACCGTAATTTCTACCAGCTTTCTTCTCTAAAGGTTTTTCTAGAATTTTCTGCAACATTTCTGATGATGTGTAAAAATTAAACGGTACCGATTGTATGGCGTACGCTTCTGATAATCTGTTGAAAGAAAATTAATATAAGAATGAAGCTTTAATTGTACCAACGCAAGACATCTAAGAGAAGACAGTAGCTATTGATAAAGTCAAACGTAAAAAAATCTTACCCCTGCAGTTTTTCATTAACCAAAACAGTTTTACCAGAACCAGCACTTCCCACTAACATTACTGGGTGCTTATTTTTCATCAGTAAGTCTAGGAAAAACCTAACTCTAATAGTTTCTGCTGTTGGCACCAACACGGCCTATAATAATAAAAAAAAAATCGCTCTTAAATGAACTACATCACACAAGTATTTATTAAAGTAAGATGTATGTAATTGACTTACTTGCAAAGGAATATCACTATCCAATTCAAACTTTGGAATCTTCTCAGTCCAAGGAGTAAACTGCTTGGTGTCATGGTCTATGTAATAATCAAAAACTGTACCACCAGGTGGGAATTTCACTGTTTTAAATTCATTATTCCACCATTTTGAAAATTCTGTAAAAACAATCAGGTTTATTATATGTGTTTTTGAGAAACATGAAGAAGGCATCGGGTACTTTCAGATAAAAGTAACATTTCAACTTATGTAAGTGAGAGAAAATTTAAAATACATACTAATTTACTCCAGATCTTTGTTTCTATACCAGGAGTCTAAAATAAGTAGCCTATATATAAAAACCAATAGAAACAACTGGCTAGTCTCCTTGAATGATGTCTTACATCAGATTTGCAATATTTCAATACATAATCCAAAATCTTAACCCACCAATTCTATAATCAACGCTGCCCTCATGAAACATAGCGGAGCCAAAAGCCCAAACACATGCAAAAACAAAGAAGATATCGTGCCATTCCTTAGGACATTCAGCTGGTGTATTCTCGGGTACAAATAGACAGTTTAGAAGATGGCAAAGCATCTGTACGTGGGCCATGTCCACTATAGGAGTGATCTTCTTAAAACGCGTCCTCACTGTTTCCAAGCATGATGGAATGTATTTGTCAAAGAGCACGACAAGGTTAGACTTTTCTGCTGGTATCTTTCTCGTTTCTACCCAACTTGTGACGTATCTGAAAAAAAATTATACATCTTGAAATAGGCTGTAAGATTTTTGAATTGCATTTTGTCATTTGCAGTGTCAGCTTACATGAGACAAAGTTTATTCAAAGTGGTTATAAAATTAAACTTACGGATTCCATCCTAAATCCTGTGCATTGATGTACAGGATACCCGCTCTGGATACTGTAGCCGGTGTAGCAGTACGTAAATTTGAAATCTCAAACATCAGCCTCATAACAGGAGTTAACGCGATACGTTCATTGCTAGCAAGTGTCAAGATCTTATTGTCATCCATTACAGTGTTCAAAGATTCAATCCACATAGGATCAATGTCTCCATCAAGTAATATCCATTTTGGATTATCTCCAGCCAAATTAGCTTGGTCCCTCATGATTACTGACAGCAGACCATCTTTCCATTCCCTTGTAGCTGGATTTATAATACCAAATAATTCATCATTAGTCACTGCTTTAGGATTTAGATCGTTATAGATAGGTTTCTTCTTGACATTTTGGTAAGTTTTGAATAATGTCTTCCACACTTGAGTTTTTCCTGTACCAGCGTTACCGACTATGAAAACTGAATGACGAACTTCAAGCAACTCTTCTAACTGAACTACTTTTAGAATGAAGTTATCTTCTGGTTGTAGAGAAAGGTCCATTGCAGCCTGTTTGACAGTCCGTTCGAATTCTAGGTCACGTTTTCTTGGTACTTCTAGAGCAGGGAATAAATCTCCTATTAGTCCCATGAATACAGGCATGTCATCAGTTACTATTTTTGGTATGTTGAAATCTCGGAGGGTTCTCATTAGTACTTCTTCTTCGGGTCTTCCTGGATCACCTCTCTATGTAAATTAAACAAACAATTTATATCATCGAAATCTTAACATTGTTGAAATGAATTTTTGTCTTTTGATTACACCTTACCTTTAAAGACCCAGCGACTACCAGCACAGATTTAATAGCCCTCAGTCCCCAATCATAATGATCTTGCTTTGACAATAACTCCTTGCACAAAGTATACAATGTGATGAACTTTCTAGCCAAGATCTTAGCCTCTTGGAACCCTTCAGCTACCAACATGATCTCACAAATCAGTTCGAAGTCTGGAACGACCATAGCACATGGTCTAAATAAAGCCTTTAGATTCTCAGGCAATTCTGTACGACCAGCGTAACCAGGATTCATTGTGATAAAAATACCGACTGATGGAGTTAATGATATTATTTCTCCCATAAAATTGAATTTTTCTTTCTTGTCTCTGGGGGTGGAAAGTAAATAGTTAAGGTTGATATGCATATTAATGGTTTCACATACTTCTACTAAAACATTTCATTCTATTATTTTAATCAGGTCACACATACAGTTTCGTCGATTATACAGAACAAAGACCAAACCATAGATATTCCCTATCGAATGTGTCAAATGCCTACTTTAACTTAGTATCGTATTACCTGATAGCATCCTGAACAGACTTTACTTGCACAGCAACCACAGACAACACCTCAACAGAGATTCGGTTGAATTCATCAAAGCATCCCCACGCGCCCGTCTGTGCGAGTCCTTTGTAGATATTTCCGCAAGACTACAAAAAAGATTCTTTATG